TATCTATATCTGAACCGATTCCCACCAAATTTGATGTACTTATGATATTGATTTAATTTAGAATGATATTGTGTATCGAAGGTATATAAAAATCGGAACCGATCTCGATAAAATTTGGTAAAGGTATTTTCGATATGTACCTGATACCAAAAGGCATTCTTGTGTAGTGCATATTACGAATGTGGTGGACTTAAACCCCTAAATCGGATAAAATAAATATGAGCTATATCTATATCTGAACCGATTTCCACCAAATTTGATGTACTTAGAATGATATTGGCCATTTGCTGCACAAAGTCGGATGAAGATATGGGAGCTATATCTAAATTTTAACCAATTCTCACCAATTTCAGTAGGGTTCATCCTTGGGCCAAGAAAATCATTTGCGAAAAATTTCTTCTAAATCGGATAATAAATGCGACCTGCATTTTGTTCACAAAAATACATGGGCATTCCGATGTTTTTTTTTTTTTTTTTTTTTGCTGTAATTAAGACTTTAGAGACCTATCCGAAAATGTATATCATTTTCTAATAGGAGAATTACTTTTGCGTAAATTTAGAAGGTCTTTTGAAGATCTTCTGCGTGTAAAATACTTTCAAAAGATCTTCGGTTTAAGGATTACCTCTCTGTCTATAAAATTCTCTGGAAAGATCATCTACCTATGGACAACAATTAGAAGATCTTCGGTTCATCTTCTGTCTTCCAAAGGACTTTTTGATAATCTGCTTCAAATAGACAACCTTTGAAATTAAGACTTTTTGAATTCTTCTTCGATCTATAGGAGGCATCTGCAATGTTTCCCGTCTAAAAGAGAGCTTTGAAGACTGTTCTGTCTATAAAAGGTTTCTGAAGATCCTCAGTCTGTGAAAAACATTCTGAAGTCATCTTCTATCTTAAAAATTCTTTTAAAAGATATTCTGTTTTTAGTAGATCCTGAAAATGATTTTTTTTTGCAATGGAATATGTTTGTCTTATATCTATAGAACGCTTTTAAAGATTTCTTTTATCTAGAGGTCTTATGTCTATAGAACATCTCTAGAATGCCAATGGAAATCATTCTGTCTTCTAAAGAGCCTTTTGTCTATGGAGTTTTGAGCCTTTGTCTTATGAGTTTTGTCTATGAGTTATTTTATATATGGAAACATTTTAGAAAGGACGAAAGAACCCATTAGGATGGTTTTCTATGCTATGGATGATCTTTTCCCTATAGAAGAATTTATTCCGTCTGTAGATGGCTATGAACGTTATTTAGTACTTTCCTAAATAAGAAGGTACTACAATGCCAGTTTATCATCCCTGACAAATGCGTAAAAATGCAATTCCACACCTTACACCTTCTTGAAATCACTCGAAGAAGAAAGAAGTAGTCAAGAAAAGCCCCCCCAAAACATACCTCCCATTAGCCTCGTATGGAAAAGAGACGGCGGAGTGTATGACATGAATAACAATTGCAGACAGTGGCTCAGAGGTATTCAGAATTGAAGCCCAATATTTTCGATTTTATAAAAATGCAAAAAATTTATAAAAATTCAATGATCAAATGCCATATTTGTGCATATTTATTTTCTGAAAAAAAAAGAAATAATAATTTGAATTAAAAAAAAGAAACCACTGTCAATTTTTTAATTGCTTCTGCATGTCGTATGGGAAGGTACCTTGTTGAATTCATTTATTTTGTGTGCGTGTTTAGTTAAAGAAATGTTCAAAGCTGTTTAAAAAAAAAAAACAATTAAACATTTGTTTGAAATCCAAATCCAATAGAAAGAAATTGAAACCAACAAAAGCAAATCAAACCAAAACCAACTACTCGTGCAAGTATGTAGTAGTGATTGAATATTTTGCATTACACTTAGGCCACAACACCAACAACAGCCCAAATATGCACGAACATACTCATGTACATATTGATATATTTGTATGTTTTCGGCCATTATTATGAAATATATATCCCTCTAACTGTTTTTGCATATCGTCGTTTTAAACGTCATTCGTTTCGAAATTCAATCCAGACAATATCTCGTATTGCCGCTTGTTTACTCTTACTCTTCGCTAACGGCGAAAAGCAAACAGCAGAAAAAAAGTTCCAACACGCGCCTGAAGGGGTACTTGTTTCTTCAATTTCAATTGTTACGCCAATAACGATATAAAGCAACAACAACAACAACAATAAAAACTGAAATGAAACGAAATTGTGGCAGTGGGTTAAAATGTTTGACCTGGTCATCATGCGAGTATGAGTTGTCGCTTTTTTTTTTGGTTCGAGTAACCTAATTTAAATTTGTTAAAATAAAAAAGATCAATATTTGTTTACTAAAATGAAGTTTGTAATTTTGTTAACAAATAAATAATAATAATAATATCGAATTCAAATGATTCTAACATAATATTAAATTATTTTGGCATGAGAGATGCGAATATCTCAATATTTGAGAGTTGTAATTATTCAAAATTTGATTCAATTGTGAGGGGGCAGGTTCCGGATGGTGTATGGTTAAATAACCGATATTAGGCCCCTAGACTTTGTTTTCCGAAAATAGTTGACTCCTACCTTTTTTTAGAGGAAATTGAATATTTTTCGAAATTTTGACCATTTGTAAAGGTGGTAACAGACATTGATAGGAACATGTGGCTATGTGAAGTTCCTCAAACAACCGGTGACACACTTATCTTTATTTTTAGAAATTTATTCCCTTTTGGCGTTTAAAGAACCTGAAAGTATGGACAATTATTTGATACTGATTTTGCGATGTGCTTACTTATGAACTATGATCTCTCAAAATTATTACCGTTTGTTTGCGAGGTGTTACCTAAAGTTTCACTTATTATTGATATAAAATCCGAGACATTCGATGAGAGAAGAAAATCGGCGACATATTAGGTTATTGCATATGTTTGGCCCTATATTGGTCCTCTAATAGACCTCTATGGACCTTTTCTTGGAGAAAGAGAAGAATGTTTCCTTAAAGTCTCCCTTTTGTACACAATCACAATTTTATAGTAAGATAGATTTTTTTTTGGAAAAACTTCATTCTTATATTAAGTGTCCTTGTAGGTATCACCTCGTATAAAATTTTTCCTCAATGGTATCCTTTCGAATAGAAAATGTCCTTAAAAGAATTCTGTCGTATAGAAAACTTCCTTAAAAGCATTTCGCCTTGAAAAAAGTGTCATTGACACACCCCTGTTTATAAAGTATCCTTGCAGAGATTTTAAAGATCATTTCAAAGGACGGGGGTCTTTCAAGGACATTTTCCATAAGAAAGGATGCCTCCAAAGACACACCCCACGCAAGGACACTTTTTGGATGAGAGTCATTAAAAGCATTTCGCCTTGCAAAAAGTGTCATTGACACACCCCTGTTTATAAAGTGTCCTTGCAAGGACTTGGAGGCACCCTTCCTTATGGAAAATGTCCTTGAAAGACCCCCGTCCTTTGAAATGATCTTTGAAATCTCTTCTCTTCTTTCTCTCTTATCGAACATTCTTCCTTGAAAAAATAGTGATTGACACACCCCACATATAAAGTGTCCCTGCAATGCTCTGTCCCGTTTCTTATGAAATGTGTCTTTGGAGGCAACCTTCCTTATGGAAAATGTCCTTGACAGACCCCAGTCCCATGAAATGGTCCTTGAAATCTCTTTTAGACAATGTCCTTAAAGGCACGATAAAGATTCCTTGAAGTACTCTGATACATAAAGTGTCTTATTTTCTCATAGAAAGTATCCTCAATAGCACCCTTCTTTATTGAAAATATCCTTAAAAAGCCCCTAACTTAAAGCCTCGTTTTCTTTGGCACAGTGACCTTAAAAGCATACTACTACTTACTACTACCTACTTATGGAAAATTTCCTTGAAGACCCCTGTCCTATGAAAGGGTCCTTGAAATATTTCCTTTTAGACAACACAATCAAATTCTAGAAAGTATCCTTGTAAGATCACTTTCTTACAGGGAGTTCCCTTTTGTAAACAATGTCTCCCTTTTGTATAGAAAGTGTCCTCCAAAGCACATTTTTATTATAAGTATCCTTAAAGAGCCTTTTTAAAGATAAAGTGTTTCCGAAAGAACTCATTCTTATACAAACTCATTCTTATACTTCTATACACTGATTCACCTTCCATAACACTTTTCCTTAATAATGTCCCTTGGAATAGACATAGAATAAAGAAAGAAGTCCTTTAAAGCATTATTTCTTACATTACTCTCAAATATAAAGTACCTCATTTTCTTATGGAATGTGTCCTTAGAAGCACCCTTACCTATAAAGAAAATTCTTGAAAGACCTCTGTCCTATAAGTGTGTCCTTTAAATCTCTTCCAAGAAAACTTTATTCCTTAAAAACAGGATAAAGAGTCTTTGAAAATGTATTTCCTATCCCACCCCTTATTAATCACCTAAGCAAAAATTTAAAAATCGATCTACGTCTTGGCATTAGCCCCTTATAGCGATACTGGCCAACTTAATGCGTTTCGGTTCCATCCTTGCCAAAAAGTGAGAGTTTTTAGCCCACTACAAGTTTGTATTTTGAATTGAAAAATGGTATGACTTATGGTCGAGTTCCTGCATAATTTAAATGCTTACAGAATGGAAAGTTTTAAAGTTCTCCAATAAAGTTATACCTGGACGGACTGGGGACATATACATTCCAGTTAATAAGAAACCTCATTTACCTTAATATTGACACCGACGGACGTTGCCTGAAATGGAAAATGCCTTTCGAGGTTCAAAATTTAAATTTTTAGATGTAAAATGTCTAAAACCTTGGCATTTTGAAGCGAAAACGGATTTCTGACTAATGTTGCATAGTACCCCCAAACAATGCCTCTAAAATGGATAACTACAAACTGAACTTAATTCGTAGAGATCTGTCGGATTACACATACGCTCACTCGTAATAAGAATACTACAACTAGGAAAAATCTCTAAATTCTTCCCAAATCTACAGTGTTTATACACATTTTTTACTTGTATCTAACTATTTCCCCTGTATTTCTATTTCCAGCTCAAAGAGGAGGTGGAACGAAAGAAAAACGAATATACAAAACATTTGGATGGATACAGAACACTAAGGGATCGCTTTGAGGAACACTATATTAAGGGTAAGTGATGCAATATTTTTCCTAATTTGAGCATTTTTTTTAATCTAAATTTTCCTCTTACCTCGAACAGCTGGTCGCAGTGGTCGCAAAGTTGACGATGTTCGTGATAAATATCAAAAAGCCTGCCGTAAATTACATTTAACACACAACGAATATGTACTCTCCATAACCGAGGCAGTTGAAGTTGAAAAAGATTTCCGCACCATACTCCTACCCGGTCTGTTGGAACATCAACAGTCGGTGCAGGAAAGTTTCATCCTCCTATGGAAGAATATATTACAGGAAGCCAGCCAATATAGTGATCTAACATCGGATAAATTCAAAGAGATTCAAAAACGTATCGACACTGTGATAAACAGCATAAATCCAAGCGAGGAATATCGGGAATTCACAGAAAAGCATAGGTGAGTGGGAGGCAAGAAACCGGGAGAAGAATTGAAGGAGTCGAGGATTATTTGTCACACAATATTTTTATGTTTCATGAACTTTATTTACATTTTACAATTTCATTTGAATTAATTAATTATTAATTTGAGAAAAATATTCAAGTCAATTTTTATATCATTTACAAAATCATCATCTCGCTTGTAATTCGATTATTTTTTTTTTATTATTTAATTTTCAATTTAAAAAGAGTATTGGAATTTGTATACCCTCCACCATAGTATGGACGTTTAGTTATAGGCCATATAACTGTACCTCCCTATATTCGGTATTTTGATGATTTTAGGGACATTATTCGCCGGAATTCTTTAAAATTTCGTATTTCAATTTCGTAATAGGTACTACAGTCTATGACAGAAAATTGTATATGTTGGTCCGGGTCTTTTTTAGCTCCCATATATTTGCACTTGGTAATGTTTACTACAGCCTGTGACAGAAAATTGCCAGTGCAGGTCCACATCTTCGTACAGGCCCCAAATTAACGGTAACTTCCTATAATTTTTAAGGAATTCTTAAAAGTAGACTTCGTTATGACTCCTATGATTCCTTCTATTAAAATATTTAACTAATCTAAATTTTTGTTCAATTATCTAATATTAGCTTTATGTTTTGAATATCCTAAATCGTAATAAACTTTCTACTGAAATTCTTCAAACTACATGTTAAAATGTTAGGTGGCTTTTTCGAACGACATTTTTTATACTAAGATTTCATCCTGACTCGTGTAATTCGTAAGGAAGTCATATTAACTTAAAATGTGTAATTTAATAATGTTAATATTTCGTTTTATTTTTTTTTTTTTTCAGAACATCACCCACCACCCCTGTTGTATTTCAATTCGATGAATCCCTCATCAAAGATATCCCCGGCAAATTACAGTCCAGTACATTGGCCGTTGATAATTTGACGGTCGATTGGTTGCGTACTAAACAATTGGAATTGGAGTTATTCGTACGAGACTGCCAAGAGAAACAAATGAAAATGATTGAACATGTCAATGGTGGTTCACCCATAGCCAATGGATCAATAACCTCAAATGGTAGCATTAACAGCAATGGCATTCAATCGTCAAAGGAAAATCAAAAGTATTCGAATGAATTTTCTCCACTTCTTTGCTTTTACAAAATTTAATCGACGTAAATTTTCTTTTTGTTTTACAGCCGTCAATCAAAGGACTTGAATGCCCTACGTTGTCAGGAGAAACAAAAGCAGAAACTATTGGATATGATTAAATGTGCCCTCAATGAGGTGGGATGCGAAGAACTGCCACCCGGTGATGATTTGCCAAATTTCCCCTGTTTCGAACATGGTGGCTATAATAATGATAATCATCAGGTGAGTTTTGCATTTGATAGTCCTTTCGTACGGTTTAGGGTATTTCTATAGGCATTTTTAATACATTTCACACTTATATTTTGAGGTTATGGTATATTGTTTAAAAATACCAAATAATCATATTTAGTATGTGATTTACAAATCAATATCAATTCTAAAGGTTATGGTACATGCATTAAGTATGAAAGTGTTTGTTTTCTGTAGGAGTGTCCCTTTTAATAATTTAGATCGAAAATTAAGTTGTTTGAAATGTGACATCTTCCAAATAAAACACTTTAATATTTTATTAAATATGCAGTATTTTAAGAGTCTTATGGAGTTAGAAATTCAAGAGTTAGAATATCAAAAAAAAAAAAAATAATTAAAATTATAATTTAGATCAAGTAGAGTATATACTATTCCCAATTAGTTTTATGATGCACTTTGTCAAACCTCATTAAAAAAATACATTGAGTTCCATCCAAATAAGGCTTTCATATATAGAGCGTAATTTTTAGTAGTAAAATTCGTCTCTATGTGTAACATCTAAATAGTACAATAGGGTATAGCAAAGCTTAAATTTTGGCACAGAGTATGGCTTATGTAACGTAATTTTCGTCGGACCTCCACCATATATAGATTCACAATTTGAAATAACCCCATACATAATTTCAATATTTGAGGTACATATAACCTGAAAATTGGGGGATTAGGTTTTACAAAATATTCAAATTCTCGCTGAAAAAAATCAATGTATGTCAACAATTGGTTATATCAGCTTTATACTTTTACCTCATGATTTTCTTTTTTGTTGTCAATTTTTAGACAGCCCCATCCCAACTAAAAACAGTTCATGAAAAGTCTTAATTATATTCTAAAACTAGCTGGAGTCACCAATTATTGTTCTTTTGAAATTTTATATGTTTTCCAAACAGAATGAACTATAACTTGGTATAGAAAGGAAAGGCCAATGTCAGGGAAGCCCTTCAATGGATATTTTATAGCAGGGAAGAACTTTAAAGGTTCGTCTATGGAATTTATATTTGACATAATTGTTTTCATTCTGTTTAGGTGTGTTTTGAAAATAAGCTATATCGGTATCTCTTATATAACGGTATCTCCCGATATTGGGAAATTGAACTATTTAAGTCACATTTTCCGAAGGATTTGTTAAAAAAATGTTATACCCTACAACACTATGTGTTGGGGGTATTATAAGTTTGATTGGGCCAAAAATTATGTAACACCTCGAAATATTGGTTTCCCACATAGGAAAGTCCATCTGTTCGTCCGTCTGTCCATGTTAATTTGTAATTAAGCTACAGGTCGCAATTATGAACCGATCCTCACGAAATTGAAAATGGAGGTGGGGTTATGGTCAGAATAGAACCCTATTGTTTCTGGAGATTATACACGATATTTAGGGGTTGAAATGGACCAAAACAGAAAAATTTCCTGATTTTGCAGTTGCTCTATAGGCCACAATTATAAAACAATCGACGCAAAATTTACATGGAGTTAGAGTTTAGGAGTGGGCAGAAACCTACCAATTTGGCCATCGGACAATAATTAGCAGGTAAAATAGACCCTAACTTTTATGTAAGATAATGGGAAAATGTCCACTAAACCGCAAATATTTCCCATCCCAACCAAATCACAAATATATTAAAAGATCACTTCTGACCATTACAATGATGCTAATAGCCAAGAAATCGGATATATAGCAAAATATGTAAAAAAAATTGATCTTATTTATTCTGCTTATAAATCAAGAACCGCTGGACCGATTTTCACAATTCTCATCAATTCGGAATGATCTTTTGATTTAAATTTATCTAAGAAAATCGCGGAAAAATATACCAATAAAAAAGTGAATATCTTTTGTCGATTTTTTTCAATTTTTGTTATATCTTTATCGCATGCGATTTTTTCAATTTGACTTAAAATTTTGAATTGTAAATTTTCTAAATTTCTACACCCCCAACTCTACGTTTTGAGGGTATTATATGCATATCGCAATTATCGTCCGATCCTCACGATATTTTTCATGAGGGTAGGGTTAGGGTCAGAATTAAAGTTTATTGTTCTTAAGATGTATATGGTGCAAATGGACTAAAAAAATTTAATTTTTACACAATTTAAATATAATCGACAGGGAATTTCGCATCAGAAGAGAGTTAAGAATAGGAAAGAATCCATTTTGGATGACCATTGTATTATATTTAGCTGTAAAATGGGCCACAACTTTCGTGTGAAATTGTTTTGAATACTTAACAATACTACGGAGTGTGTAAATATTGTTCAAAATCTCAAAAAAAAACTAAGGGTAATCTCTGGGTTGGGCTCTTTGACATTATTTCAGAAACGACATCTTTCAAAATGGATTTGGATATAAGGGGACTTCGAACATATTGTAGTGTTGTAGGGTATCACAGGGTCGGACCCGCACGACTATAGCCTTTGCTTACTTGCTTTTTTTTTTTTTTTTTTGTAACCCTTACAACAGATTGTTCAGTTTTTTTCGATTATGTTTAAATCAGGTTATATCTCTTATGGCATCGCATTGTCTGTGTAGGTCCAAAGTTTTCTACAGCCTACATAACAGTACCGCCCGCTTTATGATATTTTGAAGACTTTAAATGCATTCTTCAACCGATTCGAATATTGAATACCGATACTTATTTTTATATAAGGAAGGGTATTCAAAACTGTTTCCGGTCGAACTTAACTTCTTGTACTTGTTTCTGTAGACTCTGTATACCAACCCAATATATTTATTTGGTTAAATGCTTTCATATGGAACAACTTAATTTTCGATCATAGACCTCGAAAGCCATAGGATGAAACCCCTTTACTTAGACACGGTGAATGTTTCCAATTAATTATATACCTAACATGATTTTGAATTTTTCCTATATCTTTCTTTCTTACACGACCCACCAAAAATATACAAACTAACCTCCAAATATACAAATTATAAACACAAAATTTAGAACTCCAATGCAAATACAACAAGCGTAAGTATATTCAATGAGCTACGGCGACGTGGTGGTGTTCTCACCCTATTGCGAGGACGTCACTTCAAACGTAAATCAACACCCCAGCCCACAACGCCAACAGCGTCGGCGCGTGCCAAACGTCTGAGCAGTAAAATGAAACCACGCTCCCAGAGTCTGGGTTCACTATCGGTAATTAGTCCAAATAGCCCCGCAAAATATGAGCCTATTACTAACCTACCCATGCGCATGGCTGCCAGTTTTGAAGCTAATAACAATCAGGGTTTTATGCATGATTTAAGTGATTTTGTTAAGGAGCTGACACCGCCACTAAGATTTGTGCCTTCCAAGCTAAGACGCAGCATGAGTCATGGTTCCATATTGATGCGTAACGACCAGCTCAGGGAACAGGAGGAAGATGAATATGGTGACAAGCCATGGTCCTATAACAATAATAATCATATTTATGCGGATTTAGATTTAAAGGAGGAGAAAAAGGACATGGAGGAAAAGAAGAAGGAAGAGCAGGGGGAGGAGAAGGAGAAACCAAAAATCACAAAGGAAGAAAGTCTAATTGCGGAGAAGAAATGTGAAGAGGAAATATTGTTGGCAACCCTGGGAGAGCAACAACAGGTGGTCATTGAAATCAACACAATACCGGAAAGTGTTAAAGAGGAAATTAAGACAGAGGAAAATAAGGAAATGGGCGAGGAGAAAAATACGGTGGAGGAGGAAAAAGGAATGGAAATTCCCCCCACAATTCAAAATGAAAATAACGAGAATAAACCCATTCCAGAGGTAATGCAAAATTCCATAGATGCCCATTTGGATCGGATCGATGAATTGAATCGCACTTTGGACAATCGTTTGAAGAGGACGATTTCACCGCAAATCACCGATTTGGATGCCATCGAATCGGCGGAAGTAATTGATGTAGTCACGAGGCCCATTAGTGGTAATCCTCATGACATCAAACGCATTTCCACCTCAAGTTCAGATCGGGAAATACCCATTGCCATGCAAAATGATAAGAACAAGAAGCGGTCCTTATCGTTTTCCCAAAAATCTATTAATGCCATACTTTGTAACATCAAGGAGTTCTCTAAGAGTCCTTTGACAAAAATGCATAAATCTGTGGATAGTAAGGATAGTCCTGAAAAAGAGGACACCGGTTGTTTTAATTCTATGAAAACAACAGCGGGTTCGGATAACAAAAGCCCAGAGGGAACATCATCAAGTACATCTTCATCTGCGAACTCAAGGCCAACTGGAACGAACGTTACACCATCAGGCACACCAAATTACCCAGAAACACATATCGATAATGGTCAACATAGCTCCTCCACACTTAGTTCCCCTTCAACACACACTGATCCCTTACTCGATTCTTCGAGTCAGTCAAAAATCACAACAGCCAACACTGCCAACATGAATCCGTCCAAGGACTCTACCTCAAAACTCAAATTTAAAGTGCCAAAAATTCAAAAGAAATCCAAAGCCATACGTCAAACATTCCGCTCCAAATTCATTAACTTTCAGCTGCGCAAAGGTAAACTGTGTAAGGTGTGCACCAAACGACGACGCATCCATCCCAGCAAAAGTGTTTTCGATTTTGCCAAAGAATTCAATTTGAATTCGGAAACCTCAGAGGATAATAGCGAAGAGTTCTGTACATGTCCGGTGGGGTCACCACATGTGGCCAAACATCATCGACATCCACGTCCCTTTAGTGTAGATCGCTCGCACGGCCATAATGACGATGATGAGGATGCTGGTGAATCGAGCGATGATGTACTCTCGATGAAAGATCATTGCTATTGTGTTCCCAGTTTGGCCACAACAGTGAGTAACATTCATTTGCCAAAAAAAAAAAACTCAATTGCAATCAAGAATGTCAAACTGAACGATTGTCTCATTGCATCTTTAGAGTGGAGAGCTTTTTTTCCGATTGAATAAATAAAAATTATACATGGGTTCTCCCGCCTGATATCGCACAATTTTCACTTTAATATTTAAATTTTTATTTCCTTATTTTGTCGTAGAAATTGTGATTTCTCTCAGCACACTTTAGTAGCAATTACACTTCTTCCTCCTGCCATGGACATCTTTGTAAAGCAAAAAAAATAATGTTTATTTCTTAAGTTGATAATTTTTAAATTTATTATAAATATTGTTATTTGTAGTTAGAATTTTGAATCATTGTAGCTATTATTAAGTGCAGCTTTTGTTCATGTTATTTTTAAATTTAAAGCATGTTTGTTGAATTTTAATTGTTTTTGCATGTATGTATCTGAAACATTTTTTTCTCTTGCCCAAAAATATTCGAAAAATAACAATTTTTTTAAAAACCTCAGCCATATGGCTATGGTATATATCATTTGATACGGCCAAAACGTGGCTCATCGAAGTAACAGTTTTAGACCTTAGGTATCGATTTAGCGTTGTCCGTTCGTCTGTCTGGCTGGTGCGCACAATAACTCTCGAAGGGGATTTCCGCTTTAGTCCAAACTTGTTACATTAGAATATTGTTGTCAAACTTAGTTCGAGTTTGGAGATGGGCAATATCAGTCCACTCCTTCTGGTACATCCCCCACTAAAGGTCCAAAAATATATTTTACTATACAGAAAGGGATAGGATATCCTAGTATCTGCATCAGTGCGAAAATGGACAATATCGGTCCACACCATCAAGTCCCTCCCCCAAAAAGGATCAACATTTTGAATAATTATAACTCCTATAAAATGGAATATAAGGGTTCGATTGTCTTCAATTAACACACATTACAATAATTTTATTAACCTAAGGTCCGGTGTGAAGATGGAATACATAGGTCCACTCCTTCTAGTAGAGCCCCCACAAAAGGTTGAAATTTTGGAAAAAAAATATTTTTTCTGCGCAGAAAGAGAAGCAATAATCCGATTTTGCTCAAACTTTGCCAATACTAATATTTGCCTCAGTTCTCGGTCCACTCCATCAAGTACCTCCCCCACAAACGGTCAAAATTTTGAATAATTACAACTCTTATAAAATTTGATGTAAGAATCCTATTGTCTTCAAATTCCACACATCCCAATATTTTTATCAACCCAAGGTCTGGTGTTAAGATGGAATACATCGGTACAACCCTCATAAAAGTTCGAAATTTTCAAAAAAATATATTTTCTGCACAGAAAGAGAAGCAATAATCCAATTTTGCTCCAAATTTGCAGATCCTAAAATTTGACTCAGTTCTCGGACAGGTGCAAAAATGGATAATATAGGTCCACTCCATCAAGTACCTCCCCCACAAAGGGTCAAAATTTTCAATAATTGAAATTCTTATAAAATGTAATGTAAGAATCCGATTGTCTTAAAATGTCGCACATCCAAATATTTTTATAAACCCAAGGGCTGGTGTTAAGATGGAATACATCGGTCCACTCCTTCTGATACCTCCCCCAATAAGCATCCGGTTCTCTTCATATTACACGCAATTCTGCTAAAAAAAAAGATATTTTGTGTATATGGGATATATCACTTCGCTCCTTCTGGTAACTCCCCCTCAAAGGGTCAAAAATTTGAATATCAATGAAACGCATAAAACGCGAAATTAATATCCGATTCCATTCAGACCGGGTGCATCTCAATATTTCCATTAACACAAGATGTGTTATAAAGATCGTAGAGATCGAAGCATTTCTTCTGGTACCTCACCCACATCTGGTTCAAGATTTTGAAAAACAAAACGCACAAAGAAATCGAAATAAGCATCCAACATTCTTCAAATTTCACACATACCGGCATTTTTGCTAACACAAGATCTGTTGTGAAAATGATATATATCTGCGAATTCCTTCTAGTACCTCACCCACAAAGGGTCACAATTTTCAAAATTGTTATCTGTTATAACTTGCGAAACGAGTTAGTGATTCTTTACAACTTGCTATATCTAAATATTACTCTCAACCACAAATCTGAGATGAATGTGGAATTTATGAATTCACAAAAAGTTGGATATAAATGTTCGATTTTCTTGTAATTTGGCCAATACCAATATTTGTATCTGTTTTAGATGAAGCATGAAAATGGAATTTTTCGGTCGACTATATCTGGTATATCACGAACGTTTTAACATTTTCTTAAAATTATTACATATCTCATATAATGTGAAGGAAGTGACCAATATAACCCAAACCTGGCACGTCGCACTATTTATATCATCTTTATTTAGGCCTTATACGAAATGGACAATATTGGTCAGCAACAATTTGAATAATCATACCAGAAGTCAAAATATATTTAAATAATCGAACATTGGCTGAGGGAAAAATCTGTATTCTAAACCGACTGATATTTTTTATCTTTTTATTTTATATTTTATTATCCAGAATTATTCCGATATTGCTTTTTTCCCATGTTTTTGGAAATTTCCCACAGTATTATTCGACTCATTCCTCTACTAATGTTGCTTTCGTTTCGGTACACCTTATGTTAATTAATTAAGACTTCCACTTACAAATTCTCTAGAGAATATCAAATCTTTCACATTTCTCAAAATATTCGCTAATACTGAGATTAAAAAAGATTTTCATTCTCAAAATTTCTTTTACTCGAAATATCTATAGATACGTTTCAAAATAGCAATAAATATACACACATATTAAGGTCTCTCACAAAATTTCATTCTACCAAGTGCAAAAAGAATGACGCAGTCGGTGTTTTTAGGGTAGGTGAAAAGAAAACAGAAATGCGTTGGAAATCATTGTTGTCACTATGCCAAAAAGGAAAAGTTGATGGGAAATCGTCAAAGTAAATTCTGGCTGCTGACGAATGAATAACAAACCTCTTGAGAATTTTCTTTCAATAACTTAACATTTTAAAGCATTCTCCCCCTCCCGGCAACTAAATGTCATTACTGATGAACTTTTCACGGCAGCTAGATAAATGTTACAAGTTCAACAGGAAATTGAGATTGAAGCAACAACAAATATTTTCAGAGGGAATTTCGGGTTTCTCAAGAGATTGTTTTATTGAATTTTCTCTTTGTGCTAGAGAGGAAATGAGATTTTAAAATATAAATTTATTTCATTGTCGTAGGTTTTGAGGTATGTGTGTATTTTCGAAAAGATTTTCATTCTGGCTATTGAAAACAGTTTTTCATTCAATATCAATTGTTGTGCGGTAATATTTTCGTTTCGCTGAATTTACCTAAAGAACCGGGCAAACGTCGGTTTTTTTTTTTCATTGAAGAAAATGCGTAAAGATTTATTGTGACGTGTTGTTGAGTGGAAATTAACATAATTTTTAAGATATATTTAAATAAATTGTGACAAATAATTTAAATAAACTGTGACAAATTATAAATATTAAATATATCACAAATTAAATTTAAAAATATATTAGCATCTCTAAATAAATTGCATTTAAAATTGAAAAATATCAAATCATGTTTTATAAATAAATTTTGTGGAAATTAACTTTTTCGTTGTCAACATGAGTAGTACATCCGGTCAAAGTAGCAACTGCAGTGATTCGGCAGGAAATTTCTCTTTGATATTCTTTCATAACTGCCACAATTTAAATGCTCCGCCAAAGCCACCGGCACGCAAAAAGCGTCCCAAATCCATGTTTAATGTAAGTGAACAAACCAATAATTTTTGTATATATATATATACAATGCATTTCAATACTGAAATATTTATTTGTATTAGTCAATTTGGTTAATACTATAAATTGTCGAATTGTCTTAACTACCCACGCATCATTTCGGCATTTGTTGATGCAATATTTTATTTCGTTAATAATGTAAAAAAGATTAGTATACTTTAGCTGTAGTTGTGAACAATTATTCTGGGAAAAATATTCATTTTAAATGAGAACACCGCGGTCCTCCGCGTTGGAGTCATGATGAATAAAATTCCAAGTTGCAGATGAAGGTACTAGCACTTTACATTGTAAAACCCCAAAACTTGGAATCTCCTGGGGAAGAAAAACAAAACATTAACTCATACCGAAATAAGGACACCAGAAACGATTCAAGTAAACATTTCTCTATGGCGAGCTAAAACCCCCTTGATCGCATCTATACTTCCTTCCTTTAGATATTTCTTTATGCTCCACTTCTTCAGTTCGTTCACACTTCCCTCCTACAATGTGCCTGAAAGATCCGCTTCCTCGCCTATTAATAGAGACTCCCTTCAGCAATTGACTCCTTCTACCTCTTCTTTAAAAGTCTTTCCCGCTCGCCTATAAAGAATCCTTCAGCTTGTCAAGTAAGATTCTCAAATAAAGTCTATAAAGTCTCCCTTTAGGACTTCTATAAAGGCTCCTTCAGCGATCCTATAGAGACAACCCTTCTTTTTTGTCGGTAAAGACCTCTTGTTGATCGTCTGTAGAGACCCTCGTATATAAAGACTCTCTTCAACTCGTATATAAAGACTCCCTTCAACTCGTCTATAAAGACTCCAGACACAATAGTCCAACGAATTGGTATCCGGAGATTTTTGTGGCCATTGTGCGCTGGAAATGAAGCGAGGAACCTCATTTTGTAACCATTCTTGAGTGGCGCGTGCTGAGTGCGATGGTGCCGAGTTCTGTTGGAATGTCCAAGATCTGCGGCCAAAATGATTGCGTGCCCAAGGCTTTAATACACCCTCCAGAATATTTCCGCTATAATATTCGGCATTTATTCTGATGCCGCGGTCGACTAATACGAGCGGAGAGCGACCATCGGTTGTTATGGCGGCCCACACCATCACCATTGCCGGCGCTTGAGTTCTGGTGGCCAACCGAACACATTTTCAGCTGGCCTCTTTGGCAAGTAAACACGATCATTTTGTTTGTTTACAAATTGCCGGACAATAAATGTTTTCTCATCGGACGAAACCAAATTCGGCAGTCCACCACTTTCGGTCAAGCGAAGCAACTCTTTAGCTCTTTTGAGTCTATTTTCTTTCTGTTGCAGTGTAAGTTCTTGCACTTTTTGGAATTTCAATGGCTTTAAACCGAGCTCATTTTTCAATATTTGCCGAATGCAATATTGCGATATGTTCAGCTCACAAGCCATTTTTCGGCGGGTTTCGATCAAGTCAAGACGTCGGGCTACGCTACCAGTATCACGGTAATGAGCGATGGTACAAGGCACAAAAGATTTATTCACATTTAAATGCTGGACTGCTCTAACGATAGCCACTTGTGGTTTCCTAGCCAAATATAACGAAATCGCACTATCACGATTGAATTCCATAACGAATAACTTTTTTCCTTGACAATTCTCACCAAAATGCCTTGTAAACAATATAATGAGCTGTCACTGGAATAATTTTAACAGCTGTCGGGCGAGTGGCTTAGAAATGACAGCAGTCTGAAATTGGTTTCAGTGTTTTCATCTCACCCTGTAAGAACCCTTAAGCTCTTCTATAAAAACTTCTTTGAACTTGTATATAAAGACTCCCTTGAAACTCGTCTATAAAGACTCCCTTGAACTCGACTACACAGACATTTTTAAACTCGTTTATAAAGACCCTCGAGCTCACCGCCTAGAAAATCTTCCTTTATTTAGTCTATAAAGACTCCCTAGCTCGTTGAGGTAGACTCTTTTCAGTCCGTCTAAATAGATCCTATATGACCGTCTATAGACTCCTTCAACCCGGTCTAGATGAACTCATTTAAGCCAGCATATAGATACATTTCAGTACCATCGTTTCATCCCGTCCACAGACTCCTCTCTATATACACTCTTTTAAGACTCCCTTCAGCTCGCCGATAAATAGTCTTTACACCTGGTCTATAAAGAGGGCCTTTAGCAATTCTCAAGGGAGCTTTGGATCCGTCCATTCAATTGCACGCGGGAATATTTAAAATGGATCAAGCTCTTTCTGGAATTATGAAGTCATATGTGTTGTGTTATTAAAATGTGTAATTTCTAATGACGTAAATTTCCAAAAAAAAAGTATATTAATTTTTTTTTGATTATATCCAAATTTCTCATGCATTTTTAACAACAACGGAACAACAGTGCACCTCCGTATCCACCAAATGCATTTGTGGGCAACTTTTTATAACTTTTTTTTGTTTAATGCTAAATTTAGATGTAAGAAAAATTGCATGTATATTTTTAGACATTGTTTTTTTTATTAACCAAATTTGCCAATTTTAATTTACTTTTATTTGCCTTATTTCATTTTTATTTGAAATTCTTCCTTCGCTTCTCCTTTTATTTCTTGGTGTTTACAATTCAAACTAATATCCATCTGGACCAAAACTAAACACCATTACTAATGACATTCTTTTATGTATCTTCTCTTTAGGTATCCCTCTCGACAAATCGCCCGCTCTATGAAGAAGAATGGTTCCATGGTGTTCTACCGCGTGAAGAAGTTGTACGTCTGCTCAACAATGAAGGTGATTTCCTTGTCCGCGAAACCATACGTAATGAGGAAAGTCAAATTGTATTGAGTGTCTGCTGGAATGGACACAAACATTTCATAGTTCAAACCACGGTGGAGGGTCATTTCCGTTTCGAGGGTCCACCATTCCCCAGTATACAAGAGTTGATATTGCATCAATACCAATCGGAGCTGCCAGTTACCGTGAAATCAGGTGCTATTCTCAGAACGCCCATACGTCGTGAAATCTGGGAGCTAAGCAATGATGATGTGGTCCTGTGTGAGAAAATTGGTCGTGTAAGTCGATAAGGTTATAATAACATAAAAACTATTTATTAAATACGCATTTTCTTCATTTTTCTCCAGGGTAACTTTGGTGATGTCTATAAGGCCAAATTGAAGTCGACCAAAAAAGATGTGGCCGTCAAAACATGTCGCATGACCCTACCCGATGAACAGAAACGCAAATTCTTACAGGAAGGTCGTATCCTTAAACAATATGACCATCCGAATATTGTCAAATTGATTGGTATTTGTGTACAAAAGCAACCGATAATGATTGTTATGGAACTGGTACCAGGTTAGTAAATACATAGGTTTTGTTGTTTTTATAATTTCCTAATTACAATTTTTTTGGTCCAACATTAGGTGGCTCCTTGCTGAATTATTTGCGTAAGAATTCAAATATCTTAACAACACGGCAGCAAATGGGAATGTGTCGTGATGCAGCAGCCGGTAAGTCTTAATCTACAAGAAATACATCCAGTCAGTAATAATGTTCACAAAGATAAAAAAGTTGTTTGAGATTAAAAATAGTTTTGTTCTTAAAATATTGGTTATATCGGCTCTATTCTGAATAAGACGCGAAAAAAAGCGATTTTATAAAAATCTTCATGGAATGTCTTATTTTGCCATTCGAATAATAATAATAATAATAATAATAATAATAATAATAATAATAATATAATAATAATAATAATAATAATAATAATAATAATAATAATAATAATAATAATAATAATAATAATAATAATAATAATAATAATAATATAATAATAATAATAATAATAATAATAATAATAATAATAATAATAATAATAATAATAATAATAATAATAATAATAATAATAATAATAATAATAATAATAATAATAATAATAATAATAATAATAATAATAATAATAATAATAATAATAATAATATAATAATAATAATAATAATAATAATAATAATAATAATAATATAATAATAATAATAATAATAATAATAATAATAATAATAATAATAATAATAATAATATAATAATAATAATAATAATAATAATAATAATAATAATAATAATAATAATAATAATAATAATAATAATAATAATAATAATAATAATAATAATAATAATAATAATAATAATAATAATAATAATAATAATAATAATAATAATAATAATAATAATATAATAATAATAATAATAATAATAATAATAATAATAATAATAATAATAATAATAATAATAATAATAATATAATAATAATAATATAATAATAATAATAATAATAATAATAATAATAATAATAATAATAATAATAATAATAATAATAATAATAATAATAATTCACTTCATATAAAATTTGTGATAGTTTTTAGAAAATGTTAAAATATGCCTGAGATATACTTGAGATATAGTTGACCGAAGTATTCCATGTTCATACTTCATCTACTACAGATACAAATATTGGAAATTAAAAAATCGAACATTTTCATCCTATTTCATGCGAAATCATAAACTCCATATTCATCTCAGGTTTCTGGTTGAAAGAAATATTTCGATCTTTACCATCTTTAAACAGATCTTGTGTTGATAGAAATATTGAGATGTGCCAAGTCTGAAGGGAATTGGATGTTAATTTCGCGTTTTATGAGCTTCTTGGATATTCAAAATTTTGATCCTTTGTGGAAAAAGATCTCAAAAGATCTTGTTTTATTAATAACAATGGGATGTGTGAAATTTGAAGACAACCGGATGCTTATTTGGGGGTTTAATAATAGTTTTTGTTATTCAAAACTTTGACCCTTTGTGGAGAATTACCAAGAGTGTTTCATGGATATACAAAGTTTTGACACTTGGTGGGGAAGGTACCAGAACACCAAATCTTTGTTTAATAAAAATATCGTGATTTGTGTCATTTGAAGGATTCTCACATCACATTTTATAAGAGTTATAATTATTCAAAATTTTGTGGGGGAGGTACCTGATCGAGTGGACCGATATTGTCCATGTTCGCACCTGACCTAGCACTGATATTAGGATTTGCAATTTTGGAGCGAAATCGGATTATACTTTCTATTTCTGTGCAGTAAAATATTTTTTTTTTTTTAATTTTGGCCTTTTGTGGGAGGTAACAAGGAGTGGGCCGATATTGCCCATATCCGAACTCGATCTTATATTACGATGTACCAAGACAGACCAGACCGGCGGACGGACATAGCTAGATCCACTCCAAATCTTCTGAAACGGATTTGGCCTAAAGGATACCTAGGGTCTAAAACCTTTATTTCAATTAGGCAAGTTTTGGCCGTATCAAATGATATATACCCTCTCTAGCCGTATGGCTGAGGGTATAAAAAAGTATTATAATAATATATCTTATTAATATGAATACCAATATTGTAAAAATTCTATGATTGAGAAGTAAATATTTTTCCATTGTCTGAAAACATTCCAGAGATTGCATTTTAGTTCACTCCAAAGCAGAGCTATTTGCAGCAGTAATTGAATGCAAATTTGTTGCCTCATTCAGGCTAAATTAAACTTGAGATAGAGCGGATCAATGCAAATTATTTAAATTCCACGCAACCAAGTCATATAGGTAATATCCATACGGTATTTCTTTAAAAATTCACAATATTCGATTGCATTCTAATTTTCCAAAATAGACCGGATTGCTATCCGATTTAACATTTGAATTTGCCATTTCAATTTTGGTATATTCGATGCCACATTTTCCCCCAATATAAAAAGTATCGAACCAAAAACATTGGATTATTTTGAAAAATCAATCCAGTGTTTTGCAATTGCTAACATTATTTTACATGACAACACAATTTCAAATATTAACAATATTTCTCCCATCTTTACAGGCATGCGTTATTTGGAATCGAAAAATTGTATACATCGTGATTTAGCAGCCCGCAATTGTTTAGTTGATTTAGAGTGTTCCGTGAAGATCTCCGATTTCGGCATGTCAAGAGAGGAAGAGGAGTATATCGGTAAGTAACATTTTATATTTCTTCCCTAAAAGAATACATTTTTAATTTTAAATATCTCTCGATTTCAGTATCGGATGGCATGAAACAAATTCCCGTCAAATGGACAGCACCGGAAGCCTTAAACTTTGGCAAATATACATCACTGTGTGATGTCTGGTCGTATGGTATATTAATGTGGGAGATTTTCTCAAAGGGTGATACACCGTATTCGGGTATGACAAATACCCAGGCTAGAGAAAAGATTGATCATGGTAAGTTGATTAAACCGCTTTAAGTAGAAAATAACCCAAGAATAGAATTCAATAATACGAAATATTAAAAGTAATTGTTAAAACATAATTCTATACTCTTTGGCTTTTTCGCCCGTCATCACAATCATCAACAAATGAAGGCCTTAAATACCTGTAAATATTCCTTTGAATCCCTGCAAATGTTTCTTTGTATCTTTCTCAGGTGGGCTGTAAGGACCTTCACATTATCTGTAAATATTCTTATTAGCTTGTCTACAAAAACTCCTCTGTCAATAAAGACAGCCTTCTTGCAAATCCACAGAGGGTTTTGTTGCCTGGTGTTCAAAAAGATTAATTTCTAATCCGTCTGTCAAGACTCGTCTTTAGAAACTCACTTCTTCTTATAAGGCTACGTTTCCCCTGGCACAGAGAATCGGTTTAAGATGTTATATAAAATCCCCTATTTATCTCGTTTGTTATTTTTTTCTGTTCGTCCATTAAAACTCATATCCGTTAATCTATATACATCTATGTAGATTCGTAATAAAGCATTTTCAGATCGGTAATAAAGACTCTCTTCTACTGCTCTATAAAAAATATTTTTTTCGGTAGTTTTAAAACTCTACTGTTACTTTGATTCAAATTCTTCTCTTCAACATAAACTAACCGCCGCTACCTTATAATTATATCCTATAGCACATAGTGGTAAGGGTATTATGTTTTTGTGCATTTGTTTGTAACATGAAGAAGGAAGCGAAATGGATCCATAGTTACTTTTGGGGATTTTCATAGAATCACTTTCTAAGTCGATTTATGCATGTCAGTCCGTCTTTCCATGTATTTTTTGTGAACAAAATGAAGGTATCAATTTTTATCCGATTGAGATGAAATTTTCCAAACAATATTTGTTTGGCCCAAGGACGAATGGAATTGGTGAGATTCGGTTCTATATACATCTTCATCCTATTTTAATGTTATTGTGCACCATATATGTAATATCAGCTCAAATTTAATAGATTTTTTCATTTGGTGAAATATTTTTATTTATTTATCATCATTTGATGCGCATCATTTGATGCGGTCAAAACGTGAAATAACGGTTTTAGACCCTAGGTCTCTTTGGACCAAATCCGTTTTAGGACATTTGGAGTCGATCTAGCGATGTTCGTCCGTCCGTCTATCTGTGTGGCTGGTGTGCACAATAACCCTCGAAGAGAGTATCCGATTTGCTCCAAAATTGGTACATCGTAATATTTTTGTCAAACTTAGATAGAGTTCGAAGATGGGCAATATTGGAATATCCATAAAGCTCATATAACGCGAAATGAACATCCGATTCCATTCAGACTTGGTACATCTCAATATTTCCATCATCACAAGATCTGTTATAAAGATGGTACAGATCGGACCATTTCTTCTTGTACCACAAAGGGTCCAAGATTTTTGGAAAACAAAATACTCAAAGAAATCTCACACATCCAAACATTTTTGTTAACGCAATATATCTTGTGAATTTGATATATATCTACCAACCCCTTCTGGTACCTTGCCTACTCACTTACTTATATTTGCCGTAACTTGCGAATCAAGAGATTCTTTACAACTTGCTATATCTAAATATTTCTCTTGACCAGAAATCTGATATGAATATGTAATTTGTCGAATTTTATGATTTCGTATAAAAGGGTATCATATAGTCGGTCTCGCCCGACTTTTGACCCTTCCTTACTGGTTTTAATTTACATCTATGAAGACACTTCAGTTCGTCTCAAAGTTTCATATGGAAGACTCTCATCTGTTTGTTTCTTTTTTTTTAACTTTCTGTCTGAATGGTTCTGATAAAATTTTTGTTAAAAATTTACATTTAGAAAAACATCCTTAAAAATTTACCTTGATTGGTAAATTATTGGAAAAACTATTGTTACAAAATCAACAAATATTGGCTGATTGATCTTTAAAAACAATTCTTACAAAATTAACGATGATTGTCCAAAACGTTAAATTAATGTTTATTGAAAAACAAACTTAAAAATGTACATTTTTTGATTTAATAGTCGTAAAAAATGATAAAAAACTTCCACAATTTTTTTTTAAATCCAGAATTATAAATATAATGAAAAAACATGTTTAAAATGATCTAATAAACATAAAAATATCAAAAAATCCAAGATTTTCGGCATAATGGACTTTGAAGAAGTATTCTTAAAAAATCACGATTGTTGGTCTTGTAGCCCTTAAAAAATATTCTTAAAGAAACTTCAATTATTGGCCATAAAAATATATTTTTTAATATTTTTAAAAAAATATATATTTTTCAGAAATCGTTCCCCAAAAATAATCTTGAATAATCCTCAATTTTTACGTCTCGAAAAATATTTTCCAAATATCACGATTTTTGCTCTTTAAAAAAAAATTATAAAAATCAACTAAAATGTCTTATAGTGATCAAAAAGTCTTACCGAAATATTGTTCTATTGTTTTATTTCTTCTATTTCTACATTGTCTTTATCTTATCCTTTTTAAATTACAAAAAATTAATACAACTAATTGAATTTGTTTTATTAACCAATTTATTTTTATTTTCAGGTTATCGTATGCCAGCCCCCGATAATGCTCCAGCGGAAATGTATCGTTTAATGTTAAAATGCTGGGCTGCTGAACCAGAATCTCGTCCACATTTCGATGAAATTTACAATGTCGTCGATGCACTGATTTTACGTTTAGACAATAGTCATTAAATTCTGCAACAACAAAAAACGCTGAAATAAACACCATACTCATTACTTTACATTTATATACATACAAAATATAATAATCATAGCATCCATATACTCTTGCATATAAATATATATCCTCTCTCAATCACATCCCAAAAACAAATATACATGCATATAACATTCATATTTGTAATGAAATCTCACTCATCAATGTTTTTAGTTGTAAGTACATTTGTAATTAAATATTATTATTAAATTCATTAATTTTTTTTTCGTCGTACATATACTACTTATATAATATGTGTTATTGCATATCTGTTGTTATTATTTAAGCTTTTAAAAATGTGTTTAATTTTTTTTTTAATTTTTTTAAATGTTAAGTATAAAACTAATATTTAAGCTATTATTAAGTAATACTCTGAGAGAATGAAATTTGAAAACAAAGATAAAATCGAAATCTATACCGCCCAACTAATGGAGGCTGAAAGCAATGTTTCCCAATGCAATTGATAAAAAGGCAACGAATGTTTCTTTTGATGAGGAAAATGAAATTGAAAAACAAATAATCAATCATATTTTTTATAAAGCATTTTACTACTATATTAACCCAATATTGTATTGAAAAGGTTAAACACAAACAAATTGTAATTGTGAGTAACAATTTTTATAAAAATCATCTTTGAATTAAATAAGTGTGTGTGTGTGCTTTTTTATATTTTATATAATTTTTTTTTCTTGTGTAATGTGCCAAACCATAAAACAAACCCAAAATTAAGACGAAATCAGAAAACAAAAATATTTGCAAGGTGTCTTAAATTGAATGGATGATAATGAAATGCAGTAACAACGTAAAAATAAATTAATATTAACATGATTAATTTATTTTCATTTAAATCAGACTTGAATACATTTTTTTTTTTTGTTTTTTGACAGACTGCAAGGTTATTTTGCACATGATCATATCCATTTACTTTAGGTCTATCAAGAAACTTTTTTTGAAGTACGCATTTGAAGTGCTGCATAATTCTTCTTATGCAATTGTAATTTATTTTCAATTAAATCTGATTTTTTAACACATTTTCTTGACAGACTTTATATACTTTTGTTTATTTTATTATGTATAATGCATATTATTATTCACAATTTTTATTATTTTATGCATACAGGTTGAGATGTAAAAACTGCAACAAAGTCAAAGGCCATAATGTTTAAATTTTTCTTTAAATTTTATTGAATGAAAGCAAAAAATGTCGGAAATATCATAAAATTTTAGAATTTTGGCACGAATGAAACCATCACACGCTGCCCGAATGTAGCTCTGCGGTATTTTGGCCCATTCCCGGCGAAACGCTTGCTTGAGGTGATCGACACTTTGGTATTTTTTAGTGCCAACCTTGCATTCCAAAATACTCAAGACACAATAGTCCAACAAATAGGTATCCGAAGATTAAGGTGGCCACTTTCGGCCAAGCGAAGAAACCTTTAGCTTTTTTGTTGTTGTTACGGTGTAAGTCCTTGCACTTTTTGGAATTTTAATGGCTTTACCTCGAGCTCATTTGTCAACGGCGACTGCGATGCGGGTTTCGATCAAGTCGCTTCTTTATTTTTCGAACCATTTCTGCTGATGTTGCTGTTTTCTTCCGTTCACTTCCTTGATGTCGGGCTATGCTACCAGTATCACGGTAACGAGCGATGGTACGAGACACAATAGATTTATTCACATTTAAATCCTGGAGTGATCTAACAATGGTCACTTGTGATTTTCTAGCCAAATGTAAAGAAATCACACAATCACGCTTGGATTCCATCACGAGTAACTTTTTTCTGAACAATTCTCACCAAAATGATGTTGTATACTAGTAAACAATATAATGAGCTTTCACTGGAATAATTTAAACAGCTGTCGGACGAGTGGCTTAGAAATGACAGCAGTCTGAAGTTGGTTGCAGTTGTTTCATCTCACCCTGTATTTTATATTATATAAATTCCTGACACGGTAGTCGAGCACAGAAAAAAATTGAATTAAAAAACAAAGAATATGCCGCTTTAAAATAGACCTAATCTCACTACCTTCCTTAAAAAATTCAATTGTCAATTCATGAAATTTCCCTTACCTCTTTTCTGTATCTCGACTCCGAATTGTAATTGTATTCAAATTGCAATCAATGCTAAAAGTAACACGCATCTTGTGTATCTTTAAATTACACCCGAATTTCTCATTTTGTTGATAGAATTCTTATAAATTCTTAAGTGGTATGTTTGTTTTTAATTAGTTATTAGGTAAAATTGTTTTAAACTCTTTTTATTTTCCTTGTATAAAGAGAACCAACTTATTACTGATTTGCTCTTGTTTAATGTAAATGCTTATGTTTAAAAAATATTATATTTTAACAAAAACAAAAAAGATCTTAAGGGAAAACTTACAATAAAAATCAAAATATATATTTAATATGCAATAAACTACAATTAAAAAATACAATATATTATGATATATATAAAATTTATTATATATAAAAAAATTATTTTCAATAAATAAAAACATACATAAAATATTAAAAAGAAAAACAGTGAATTTGTCCATTTTGTTAAGGGGAATTATAATTGGCGCCTAAGAGTATGCCCCACATTGTTTTATATTGGACATCTTTGCAATAATGCATCTGGCAACATCACAAAGGAGAAACATCTGACGCCTAAGAGTATGCTCCATATTATTACTTCTTAACTATATAATTTTTTGGTAGGAAATCTGGCAACATTCCACTTTCTTGTAGCTTTTTGAGATTTTCAGTAACATTGTGGTGACAATCTCAAGTATCAGGCAAACAGCATCGAATAGCAGGGATATTTGGCATCAAACCAAAATTCAAATCGCTATATCTCAACAATGAAAGGGGCTATTTGCATGAAGTTTTCACCATATGATAGGGAAAATATTGTAGTTTTATAATGTGCTACTAATGGTCTTAAAAAAATAATAATAAACCCAGAAATTATGGAATTTCTACAGATATGAAAATACTATAGAAAAAGCGGAAATAAGGATTTTTCGCGTTGAATAGTTGATAAATCACTGCATCTAAGGTAGAATTGTTGCGGGTGTTGCGCATTGGCGGCAAATTAGGGGCACTTTCTGAATCAAGGCAAATTTAAGTAGACTTGTTTCGAAAAGCCACAAATCGGTCTGATTACATGAGAATAGTCAGAAATGGGAAATGATTAGAGGAATGGAATGTATCTTCCCTTGACACTGTTTACTGTTCGTCTTAAAGGTAATTTATATTACTTTCACGTATCAAATAAAAAAATGCACAGAAAATGTTATCAAAATATAGGAAAATATTTTTGTGATTTTTCGGAAAAATCTATTTATATATTTTGCTTATATAGTGTAAATAAACATTTTGTTTGTCTTTGGTGACTAATTTTGACATTGAACGTAGAATATGTTTGTCTTTGACGTCATCCCCTTAAGATTATGTTTTATGGAAATATTTTGCATAAACCCAGATTAAGTGCGACTTTTTCAAAATTCGGGGTTTAGGTTATTCGGAGGTTAAGTATATTCTGGATTTACAGTAAAGGTTCGTAACAAAACAATTTTCGACAAATATTTTGATCCGATACGATCATATCTTAATTGAGTTTTTGAACAGTTTGGAAAGACCTAATGACTCGATTGAGGGTAAATTGATGCTTGTCAGTTATATTGTCAAAGGCACTATACAGGGTGAGATGAAAAACTGCAAACAAATTCAGACTGATTACCGTGATACTGGTAGCATAGCCCAACGTCAAGGAAGTGGACGAAAGAAATCGGCAACATCAGCAGAAATGGTTCGAAAGGTAAAGAAACGACTTCATCGAAACCCGTCGCAGCGTCGAAGTGGCGGAAAAACGGCTCGTGAGCTGAACATATCGCAATATTCTATTCGGCAAATATTAAAAAATGAGCTCGGTTTAAAGCCATTGAAATTTCAAAAAGTACAAGAACTTACACCGCAACAAAAAGAAAATAGACTCAAAAGAGCTAAAGAGTTGCTTCGCTATATCTGAACCGATCTTCACCAAATTTGACCTACTAGCTTCTAGACTCAATTCGGTCGTAAGAACCAAATTTTCTCCCATTTGGGCAAATATTAGAGGTTTGGTGCATAATAAAAAGTAAATCGGACGAAGTTATATATGGGAGATATATCCAAATCAGAACCGATCTTGATAAAATTTAGCAAATACATTTCTGAGCTGCATTTGACATATTTCCCCAAATATTGTTGTTACAGAGTGCATATTACGGCTGCGGAGGACAAAAATAACAAATCGGATAAACAATATATATGGGAGCTATAGCTATATCTGAACCGATTTCGATCGTACTTATTTTTAGGCCTAATTTGGTTTTATGTGCAAAATTCCATACTATTCAAAAGTATGGAATCGGACGAACATATATATCTAAATTTTTATCTAAATTTTTACCGATTATCTTCAATTTCAATAGGGTTCGTTCTTGGGCCAAACAAATGGTATCATAGCCCTACCTTGATATCATTGTACCATGGTTATAACTACATACGCAATTATTTGCAAAAAGGTGTTAAATTTCTGTGCCAGATCAAGTACGACAACTCTGGTTCTTTGACATTGTGTTTTGTTTTTGGAGACTAGATATTCTTGGAGTTTTATTAAAAACTTTAACGACGAGAATATGTATATATCAATATTAATACATTTTACAAAATATATAATGAAAAGAGGTTAATATAAGTATGGAGCATAAATCGAGTAAAACAACCTTTAAAATATAATTAATATTTAAATGTACACATTGGTATCAAGGGCAGTTTAGGCTTCCTAAATATTAAATTCCAACCACTTGGCTGGGTTGGTGACAGTCATTTGTTCAACTTGCTCCACGGACAGGCCCTTGGCAAACATGCGTGGCAAAATATTCATATGGACATGATGATAGCCATGACCACCGAAGGAGGTCTAAAAAAGAAAACGAAAATTCTTAATATATTTTCACAAACAACAGTAA